TCTCTGTTCCTAACAGCGGGGCTGCGCTGGCTGTGTTGGAGAGATTCGTTAATGGTACATCTTAACACCTGAGGTATGGTGACAAATCGGTGTGATTATCAAACAACTTCTGCTCAGCTGAAGAATAGTAGTTTGTTCACAGCGACCTGCGGGATGTAGACGGGCTCTGCGTATCTAGAAGAAAGCATAGTTTCAGACGACTTCTGCTCAGTCCCACTGAAATGGGTCAAGCCGTCATGTAGCATTTCTGAAACGTGGGTGCTTAGTTGTTATTGTTTGTAGCATAAAATAGTGGATTGTTTGGGGGGCAAAAAAGCTCAAGACAGACTGGGCAGATAGAGGTGTCGTGTACGTGACTTTTAATGGCAACAAAAGTAATAATTTAAAAATGAAACTATCAGTACAATAACCAGCAGAATGTATAAAAAGAGTTTGTAGAAATTATGCCATATTCCTCTCTTTATTTTAACAGAGGGAGTTGGTTAAAAATGAATTTATACAAATATTCAGGAAACCTCTGAATGCCACTTTAGAGCTTTTCCTGGTATGTTGTTTTCCCTGTTAGCCACTTGGCCACCTGGATAGATCTGTTTGACAAGAGTCAGAGCGGTGCTGTCCAACCTGAAAGGGTTCCTTTGTTGTTTTGGTCTTATTTTTGCGTTGTCTTTTTAAAATCTGTCTATAATTTAACCATTTGTATTCTAAAATAATCTTTAAAAGAATCTGCTTACACTGTGATTTATGATAGCCTTTAATTTAGAGTATACAACACAATCTAATTTTCTTCAAAGCTTTCAAAAGTGTTCTTATATATGCCCAGAAATGAAAGTTGTCTATTTATCATGAAAATGTGTGATTAGATAAAGTTACCTGTCCAGAATCCCAGTGCAGCTCTTTCAGATGTGCTGGATGGATGAGTTAGAGAAATTGCCTTTTAATCTCTATGGGTTAATAAATATTTTTTTATAACTAGCCACAGATATTCCTTTTTAAATTATACTTGGCAAACAGAAGATATTTAATTTTA